AATTACGAAAGTTGTAGTTGATCAAACTCATTGGACCAAGTTTAAAAATACTGAATCTTAAAATTTTAACAATATCACACCAAAGTCCTAAGTTCCGAAGATAAAATTTAAATGACCTCGAACTTATACAGGTCTTCAAGACCAATCGTACAATAAGCATCCGGTTATAATATTAAGCTATCGGTAAGCAACTAGTAAGCAACTATAAAAGGTAGCAACTATAATCGTGGGAAATATGACAAAATGTTTGTCCCCAATATATATCCGAAACATGTGCGTGGCTATCAAATACTACATAATCTGCGTGCATTAATATGGGTTATTAATAGGCTTAGGAACTTCTAGCATTTACATAGTTTTTTTAATTATGGTTAAAAATAGCAGAGTGCAAAATAAATTCATTTCTCGGTGCCATGATACCAGATCTAAAATTTGAGTGTGCATATTTTTACATATTTGATAGATTTTGCAATAATGTACTTATTTTAAAATGATTATGCTTTATTTTGCATATTTTAACAATTATTTCAATTATAAGATTAAAAACTATAGATACATAATATGTATACCAGATATATAGTATAACTTAATAAATTTAATAAGTTAATAAGCTATTTGTACATATTTGAACCGATCGAAAAAAAATATATATATATGCTATCTATAAACTACCACTTATAATTTTTGTGAAGGTATAAACAATTCAATAAACCCGTATTGACCGTTTATAGGGGTCCGATAGGCGATATCCGATAATAGATATTATTTTAAACAATTTCGATTACTTTTTCAGTGTTCATTATATTATAAATTCTAATAAAATAAATGTTTAATTTGACCACATATTTATTATATTTAATTTTTTTTTAGGCATATTTTAGCGCATAAATGGTTATTTTTAGCTGCATATTTTATTTAGGTTTTTTTTTAGAGTTACAAGTCCCTAAGCCTAGTTATTAAGTATTTTAAAATCTTTGTGTGCTATCGTCTTATGAGGTTTTTGCGCATTCGCGAAGCAACCGTTGCGGCTACGCCCTGATTTTAATATTAGTCCATTATTTGTTACATTTTGAAGAGTAAAAATGAACTCATTATTATGTATAAATAATGATCTGCAAACAAGTGTAATTTTGTTAATGAGCTATACTGCTCAAAGACCGTATAATCATTAATTACTGACAGATAGTTGTTGTTGTTGTTTTTTTTTATGTTTAGTCCAAAAGGAGGAGGCAAATTATTTCACGCATTTACCCCGTTAAATCTATCTTATTATTTTTCAATTCGACGTAATTCGTATACCTTGGACGCGTAAACGGTATAAGTAGGCATATACTCGTAAGTTGTAGTTTAATTTTATTAAAACTCATTCATTAAAAGTTCTTGGATTAATATTTCGAAAACGTGATAGTCAACGATTATAATTATCCATCGAATTGAACGGAAAGGAAATTCTAATATTCAAAACGTTTTACGATGTACCTATACAGTCAACGAATTTCATCGTATATTATAGATCCGTAAGTCGCTTAATCATCTTTACCTCGAAATTCCTTTTATTATAACGCATCATCGAAGTGTTTTCAATTTTTTTTTATGTTCATTTTTTTCGTATTCCGACCGCATATTCTGTGTATATTCCGGTACACGTTTTTCTTCTCTCTGGGTCGTTTTATTCATGTCGGTTACCTGCACAACGATTATCCGTCGTCGCCACCCCTTACCACTTACATATGCGCCACAAGTACAGCGTACACAAGACTATGCGCCGAACGAACATAACTCTTTTTTTTCTTTTAATTTTTATCACGGGGATGATTTTTTTTCTTTTATGTCTATTTAATTTAATCGCTTTGATTTAGTTTGACGTGATTTTCACTGTTCAAATGTGTGAATGTCACTCGCGTACGGGTAAAATTAAATATTTTTGAAACGCACGACGAAAGAAGCTCCTCTGGATAAACGTCACGATAACGTCTAATTCAATGTTATTAGGTAGATATGACAATTGTTCCGAAGGGTTTTACGATGTGTGCGCGTGGTCAACGATTTTTTTAGTTATTCATCCGTACGTCGCTTGACCGTATCCACATCGAAACCCCATTTGGTACAGCGTCGTCGAAGTATTTTTCAATTTTTTTCATTTTTTTTTTCTCTCTCGTTGTTTTCCGACCGACCGCTACGCTATAATCGTATTTGGCCGGTGGCTTTTTTTCTCTCTCGTTTCGTCCGTTGGTCACCTGCACGCATTAACATACGCGTACGACGACTCTCCGTCATCACCGTCACCACCACCCCGTACCGTGGTATACGCCGCAAGTAGTGTACACAAAACCGTACGGTGCGTTGAGCGAATATAATTTTTTTTTCTTTTAATTTTTATTACGCGGATCGGTTTTTTTTTTTTTTTTACTATCGTACGGACGCACGACGTGTTTATCAAGCGACGTTCACACGCGCGTACCGAACCGGTTCTGTCCGGCGTCGCCCATGTTAAGGGCTCCCCGTCGGTAAGAAAAATACGAATAAAAAAAAAAAAAAAACATCGTATATATCTCTCGCATAATAAAAATGATAATAAAAAAAAATTTCGAGCGCCAGAACGTAAAAAAACCGGCCGCCCATTAGCCGGTGTACAGGTACATTACCCAGACTACTAGAGTTCGATCCGATCTGCAGTTCGTATTATTATTATTATTATTATTGAAAAATACTTGCATAGCACTTTTGAGTATACGCGCCCGAAGCGTAGCTGACAGCTAATTGGTTTGGACAATAAATACGTCTGTTCGTCTGCTTTAAGCGCGAGGAGAACTGGTAGAAAGCGTGAAATACTCGTCGTACAAGACTTTACCTCGACGACGTGAACGAATCGAACGCAACGCCAAAGCAATACTGTTTACCGTACATTTTAGGTACGTTGTATACTTACTCTTCTCATGGTTTTTTTTTTTTTTCATTAATCGTCTAACGGTTTCGTAGTATTAATTGCCAATAAAAATGTGTTACAAAAATATAAACATAGTCAATAAATGTATATGTTTTTAAATATTTTATCAAATACACATTCAATTATATAATCAAATCGTAACGAATACACGTGCATTCGAGACGGTCGTCTACTATATCGTAAAACTATCGTTATCACAAATGTTGCCGTTAATAAATCGTAACAGATTATGGAACGAATACTTCGTCATTCAAAGTTTTTTGTGAAACCTTTTAGTTGTTCGGGCAGTGAAGTCTGTCCGAATTCATCGAGTTTACCTCACGACCGACGATTATGTTGTGTTCGGTAGAAATTAAACATAATACCATTGCTGTAAGTGTTTTGATGGATTTATTGATTATAATTTTACGAAATAAAATGTTATTAATAATTGTAATCGATCACAGCACAATAGCATTGCTTTATCCAAGGAACAAATAAGCGACGTTAGTTTCATTTTCCTAACTTGCTAGTTTTGGTAAACTAGAACCTTCGATTACTGTAGGTTGCATATATTTGTAGAATACTACAATATACATTGATAAATATTAAAAACTGTTCTGTTTATCACCGAAGAAGAATGTAGATGAGAATCGGATAATAATCTCCGATACGTGTAAAATTCAGTCAATACACCGAATTTGATTTAAATATCAAGCTCAAAACATTTAACATAGCTATAAAAGTTATCTTATATTTTTACATATTTTTGAGAAATACATGAAACCTAACCATATTTGGGCTTGATAACATTATAAATTGCTATACAGCAGTTTAAATTTCATATTCTTATCAAAAATCAGCTTTCAAACAACGTATGATTTTTTATAGTTTATCAATAATTTGAATTATGATAATTCAAATGAATTAATCTATGATCTCTTAGGAAAGTTAAGTTTTTTTTTTAAATTGTGTTGATTAATTATCACAATTTCGGTGTACATCTAGAATAAAAACAATAACCACATAATATAATTCCTAATATTATTCACCTAGTTGTTCAAAATTACTAATGATACACGATTTAATGTTATTTCAACAACATTAAAAAACAATATAAAACTAATAACATAATCCTAACCTATACCGTTTTTAGTTTTACTTACATTTCTTTTTTTCGAATTTGTTGATTTTTCATTATTTATAATGATTGAATATATATATTGAATACCTACCGGTACTCAGTAATGTGCGTTTGATCGGTTCGTTTATTTACTTCCTTTTTGCAAATTAGGAAAACCGTAAACCATAAAATAAAAAAATTAAATTAAAATTAAAAATATAAATTTTTATATTTATAAATTTATACTTATATAGTACATTTTACACATGAAACAAATATTTCATTTTTTTTTTTATAAAAAATAAAAATAAAAACAATGTTTTTTTACGAATAATACTACAAACCTAATTCAAATATATTACGCGATGGATAAATTATAATATAATATTACAATACAAATAAATACACCGTTTGTCTAAATATATTTAAAAATAGTTATAAAATGATTATAATAATAAATGAATGAAAATAATAATAATATTAATAATAATAAAGTGACTAGAAATAATAATAAAATGTACAAACTCGTTCGGTTTTCGACGAAAATAATATATGTACAAAACTATATATCATATTGAATTGCTCTGCAATAAAAAAAATAAATATTTATTTATATACCGCGATATAAACACCTATCGAATAACAAGGTTAATGAGAGGGAGGAGGGAAAATGATTTGAAATTTACAAACTGATGAGATAATAGTAATAATGTATAATATTCATTCAGGTAGCTGTGTGCCTCTATCTTTGAACACTCGCATAAATATATATCTTATGTAGATTATGCTGGCGCATTAATTAACAAGAGTTGTATATAAAAAAAAAAAAAACCTCGATTCACATTAATTACGTCTGTTTTACGACATTGTTCTTCCGATAGCTCGTAAACATTTTTTTATTCGACCCGCTCGTTAAAACACAAAAATCGATATAGCTTAAGTGCTTTTTCATTTTATTCCGTTTCGTTCCTTTTTTTTTTTTTTATTCTTTCTTTTCGGCATAGTCAACGATCAGGTCTGCATGTCATCGAACACATAAAACACGTTATTTATAATATTGTCTCGCAGAAGAGCTGCTGGCGTTATTTTTGGTCGGCACCGAGCACATACGATTATTAGACAACTGTACACACCGTGCACAGGTACGTAGATGTTCCAACACGAAAAATGTCTAAATAGGTACTTTATTTTATTATTTGTTTATATTTATCTTTTATTTTTTCGTTTTTAATTAAAACCCGGTAGTGGCCCACACACCGCCCGTTCTGCACTGCTATTTCCTTCATATGCCTTTGCCCTCCATGGATCCCATCGATGAGCATCGGCTGTCCTCCGAGTCGACCGTTGAATTGCCGCCATAAGATGCGTCGTCCGCAGGTGATGGTGACCCACCGCCGTCGGTCTTCATGATAACGATCGACGGTGGTGGGGCGCACTCGGGACACGTGCCTCGACCCTTGTCCGATTCCGGTGCCATGTACACCTTACCGCACTTGTTACATTCTTCTTGAGTTTCACCTGTTGACAGAAAGAAAAAAAAAATACTGTATAAAAAATTGTTTTATAATGAGCCCCGAGCTGCAGCGTTGTTGTTCAACAGCGTATTCAGATCTCCGTAATCGTTTCAACATATTACCGGGAAATTGTTATTTAATTCAGTTTTAATCGTTTAAGTCTTGACAAAAATGTCGAGCATCACCAAATAACGAACAGACTCTATTTTCGCGACCCACTATATAATCACTGTGTAGCGGGTAAGACGTACAAAAGTGTATAAGTGGATTTTTTTTTTCGTAGGTCACCATAATCATCCACCGTATTCGCCTTTAATGTATATACCCATCCACTTAAATAGTTACCTATCGAAGAAGAGTAATTCGGTGGGCGTCAAAATGCTCGAGGAACGACTAAATGTGCGGGACGGACAACAATATACGTCTATTAATTTGGGTAGTACTATTATTACTATTATTTCTCGTCTTTACAGGCGCCACGGATAATCCGAGGACAATTTTCGCGGCAAACACACACACGAGACTGGTCCACGAAAAAGGTACACACAGGTAAACAGGTACGTGGATTTTGCCAATAACGGTATAAGGGATTAGACACCCAGTGTATATTTAGACTGATTCCCGGCAATAATGTGAGTTGTTTCAATGGTGAGAAGGGGATGAATAGTCTTTCACAACAGGTTTTTAGCCGCTTATAAACACACAGTACACGCGAAAACGACGCCCACCCGTATAAAGTATAATAATAATAATAATAATAATAATAATACGTCGTTAGTGTGATCGCGTTTGGTAGCAGCGATGGGAAAACGTGGAAAAATTCCATTTTGAAAAAAAAAAAAATGATGTAATGAATTTGGGCTCTGCCTCGGTGAAGTAAAATCATGTATCTTAAAATATCTGCACGCAAAAATAAAATAAAAATATAATTTCATTTTCTTTCACTATATTTCGTTCTTATACGTTTCAGATCAGTTACGAGTTTGAAGACGTTAAAGATTACTATTAAACTACTACAATTGATGGCGAAACCCACGGAAGAAAGGATTCGGTGATTATAACCCTCTCTTTCCAGAATTCATTTTTTAGTTAAAATTAATTTTTATTTAGTATTTTAAAAGTAACATTAGGCCTATATCAACACTTAACAATCTAGGACAATATAATAATATATTTTAATGTATCGAAAATGTTCTGTTGAGATATACCTATTATATTTAAATACATAAAAATTACTTAGTGTGTATTAGGTCAGTGACTTGAGGTGTAGTATGCTACGTACAGCGTATAAAATATGTACCAACGGAATTTTAGTATAAACACAATATGTACATTGTGAACACCTAAGTGTATTATTTTTCTCCCATTCTCAAATAACTATGTAATATATTATATAATTACGCTTTATTCTCGCTTGAATTTCATATAGTATATAGATATCTAGTGCAGGGGTCCACAACAAATTCGTGGGTAAGAGCCATTTTTTTAAAAAATAAGTTACAAAACCGTTATGTCCAAAGAGGTTTGTATAACCCTTTTTTCCTAGTCATACATATATGACTTTTATGTATAAAGAAGAGTTTTTGAGTCGTATCGCAGATTACAACCTGAAGAACCGCATGTAGATCCGAAGCCATAGGTTGCAAACCATCGATCCGGTGTCTAATCGTAATTTACTACTGATTGCCCATCATTTTATCTAATTTACGTTACGCCAAAATCGCATGGATCAAAAATCAATATCAATAAACAAGAAACGTTCTATAACTTTATGCATTGGTTGATTATCAACTACTCACAAATGTCTGCGCATGGTACTCTTTCATACGATCGTTTTTTTACACTCGGTGGCAATCGAATAGGCCATCGAATAAAGTTTAATATTACGTGTAGCGCATAATATATTAAATTGAATACGGGTACAAATAATAATTATTACTGAGGTGTAAAACATGCAATCACACGCGAAAATATCGAATTCGCTTAGATGAATATAATATCGTTTTCGGTGGTCATCTGAATAATATTCTGATGCACAAACGTGCGCATAAAGTACTATGGATGTAAAAAGCTGCAGATATATATATATAGTGCTCGTGCGCATACACATACCTGTATACATATCCAAAACACACACACACACATGCATGTAGATGTATACATAATCACACCGAACTTATTATTATACATACTCGGATAAGCCAGGTAATCGTACAGCCCATACAAAAAAAAAAAAAAAAAAATAAATAATAAATAACACACATTTGACTATTCATTATTATATAGTTCTAAGACGATATGTATCTATATAGGATTGCCCTTTAATACATACATATATATATTGTGCGAGTACTTCTGCGTACGTAATACGTAAGGACCATGGAAATTACATGTTATGCGCGACGTTACACCACAACACCGACCACTATATATTTAATAACTATACCCGACTCTAATGAATCGGTTCCCTTCAAGATTCGCCATCAGATTTATTACAGGTAATAGGTACTCATAGGTTACACGCGGACGCGTAAAAAAAAAAAGAAAAAAATAACAATCGTAACGATACAACGAACGTCTGTCTTGCAGTCGTAAAACGATGTTATTATGAATGATAATTTCTCAATGATTTTATAGATACCTGGTGTAGGATACACTAATTACGTACACGTAAACGGGTTAATTAAGTACAAAAACGGTTCACTTACTCTCGTGGGTCTTCATGTGCGCTCTTAGGTTGCATGCTAGGGCAAATTTCTTTTGGCATAGTTCGCAAGCGTGCGGTTTGTCCCCTGCGAAAAGAAGATAAAAAAAAATTATAGTCGTATGTTATATCCTCTGTACAACTACATTGCCAAAGTTTTTTTTTTCGGTGTGTCAAATTAGTTTATTCTACTTTGTGCACCCATACTATCATGATGTGCAAGTATCATCTCCGCTAAAGGATATGTGCCGCGTAATCCGATTGTTTCGAGATCGTTTTAATTAGATATCGCATTGTTCAATTCAAACGTCACCGCGCTGTCGCTATAATAAGGCAAAGAAATTTCTACAAGCTCTCCCCCTTCAACAAAATACACTACTGCTACTGAACACTTCCATACGCCAGCGTAATCTTCGTGAATGGCATTATAGTCTCTGCCGCTACTACGCGTGCGCGCGCGCGCGCGTGTGTGTGTGTGTGTGTGTGTGTGTGTGTGTGTGTGTGTGTGTGTGTGTGTGTGTGTGTGTGTGTGTGTGTGTAATAAACGTATATAATAATAAGTACAACGTACAATTGTATCATACGACCGTCCAACAATCACTCTTTATGCGCGCGTATCAATTTAATGCAATTTTCAAATAAACGTTCAACAAAAATGCATTATATCAGCACGACTAGTGAAGATTTTCGAATAGTTTTATCGTTTCTACGGTAAATTATACTTGCGATCTATTTGCATACAGTCAAAGCCTTATATACATCAGTGCGTGCGATTACCAAACGTTATCAGCAGACTTCTGGTCGGCATTGTCCGATCAGTTTATTCTTACACTCATAGATACGAAACAAGAGTAATACTCCAATAGAAGTTTTCCCACGCGGTAATTTTCGTTCGTATTTAGTCATTGACAAGTTTACTTATCTTAGACAACCCTCCCCATTTCATATTATGAGAATCTGTATATATATATATATATATATAGATACGAGTTAAATAAAATACTTAATAGTGGTATTATTCATAAGACTCTAATCATATCGTATTAAACAAAAATAAATTAAATCGACTAGATTTGATTCGGGTTTTATTTGATTTCCACTCATCACATGCGCATTACGATTCCATATTACACGCTTGGTATAATTTGTTAAAATGTTTTCTCATCTTTTCATCTACTATATGCACGTTTGATCGGATATTCAAAAACACAATAGGCAACGAGAAATAATAATTTTCTCATATCGACAAGAAGCGGAAAATAGCGTTTAATTTGTACATGACTACTATATAATGTACAAATCAATAAAAATGCATTCACACAAACTACATATAATAGGTCTGTGTGTGCAAGTGCGTTTTTATATACGAGTCCGGATTACAAGAGACGGAACAAAAATTTACAAACGTACAAGAACAGGTCAAATTGCAAATGCAACTAAATTACAATAATTATTATTCCGAGGAAAAAAACTGGTTTAACCTCCCACCCTTAGAATTTGTTAACTGTAATCAGCCCCTCATATATTATATACGATTATGGGAGCGGAAACACCGAATGCTTTCGATCTACTTATTATAATTTGTAGTAGTGTCCTACGCGATCCCAATAGCCGCGTGATATGTGGTCGAAGATATAAAATGGTAGAATAATAAAACTTAATCTTTTACCTGATTTTATAAGATTTTCCATTCAACGTTTAATGGTGAATATAAAAAACACACCACCTATAATTTTATCATAAAATAGTAGCTGAACTGATATTAGATTTTCTTACTCGAGTGATTTTAAACATATTTAAAATAAATAAATATATTTTTTCTTAGTGTAAAACTAATGCGAACGTGAAAATGTGCAGTGTTCGTACATTTGCAAAGAAATATTTACTAATTACTACTAAGTCGAACACCAAAAATACTTGATGTCCTAAATATACTACAATATCAGAAGAATATAAATAATTATAATATACATATTACCACAATATAATCATTTACTCTTTCCGCGTGAACGACTTCTGATAGTTACCCAGTACCTATACAGCCAGGGAAGTATTCAATGAACGACGACACTATAGGTTAAAATAAATTTTATCTCACGAAGATTTATTGATCAAGATGTCATTTGTATAAAAAAAAAAAAAATAAAGTATAGTTATGAAGTTTATGGAATCAAGAAATGGGACCATCAACATTTTTAGAAAAATAAACTCTATAAAATAAGATAATCTTTAGATTTTACAAACAACTATCGTTTTAATTTTTCACTAAAGCATTCACATTTATTTAAAATAATTATTAAATATAGTTTTTAGTAAAGCGAATTATTATAATAATAGATTTGATTATCATTGCTAAATTTTCCGTTCAATAAACTTTTACGGGACAAAGTGTATTATAAAAAATAAACTATAAAATAATACAGTAATTTTGTTCCATAGACCGCACGTACGAGTATACTAAAACCAATACATATTTATATATTATTGTCTATATTTTATCTCTTACATCCCTTTGTGAAAAAAAATAAACGCAGAACAAACGATTTGTAAACAATAGAGAAAAACACTGAAAATTGTTATTGTAACACATTATTGGTTAAGTGATGAAAATGTCATATTTCGCCTGCAATACAGGGGCAACAAAGAAATAGCTTAATCTTTCGAGAAAAATAACGTTGATGATACGGTGGAACATTTGTTTTAATAAAAAAAAACAATAAACGGATAGTATTATGAACTTGATGCGCAGAACTTTGTCCTATGAACGCATCAAATTATGTTGTAAAACTTTCAATCGAACACTGTTTCTAACCACGCGTAAATCAACATCAGCCAATAATAATCTATCGACGACGACGACGTTATTATACGCACGGCGTATGCTCGCAGATGCGTGTGCGTATATTTATGCACGCGGGTCGCGCAGGGTAGAAGAGATATAAGTAGCAGATAAATATGGTGCACGACCGTGTTTATGTTAATGAACCGCCTGCAATTACAAGTTAATTTACTCACGTGGCTTCAGTGCGATTGATAAATATATACGTATAGGCACGTAATATTTATAAGTAAGTCGTATGGATATTTTTTTTTAAGAAGTTTTATTTTTTATTTTTGTCCTAGAACACACATACCACCACCGTATACAACTTGTTGTTATATTATACTGTAGCAGTTACGTATATTATGTGTACATACACGTAAAGATACGCGTGAGTGGACGACGACGAGATGATGATGATGATGATGATGTTCTCTCGATGCGAGAGCCTGCGCGCAAGAGAACGGGAAAATAAAATCGCGCGAGATAAGAATTTTCAACGCTCCACATTCCAACTACATGTGCACGGTAGATTAGCTTTTGCGCAGTATAATATATGCGTGTACACTCTATTATTTACCGGGTTGTCGTGCTTCTCTGCTCCCGTTTTCCGCTGTTATATTACATTATTATCCCGTGCGAGAGATACTAGCGACTGATACACACTACGCGCACTTTATATTATTACATATATATATATATATATATATATATATATATATATATAAGCACTTTTGTTGTTATTATTATATTTACGTATCGAGATCTGTGCATATGTATGTGTGTGTGTGTGTGTATCTAATATAGTGCAAGTAGGTAAGTAAGTATCTATACTTGTATGACGGTTACGAACGTGCGACGAGTAAATAGCGGTCGAACTTTGGACGCACGACAGAGCAGCGTGATAGCCGGCCTAGCAGACACACTATACGCTAAGTGTAGACACACTTCTTTTTTGCCTCCATTAAAATGGATATCGATATTATTGTTTTTATTGTTATATTTTTCCGAGAGAAAACTGTATGATGTAACATTGTAACGTAAGGATCGTAATGTCACATGTTATGTGTACATAAGAAATTATAATTATAAAAAAGCTCATCTACACGTTAAGAGAACTTCGCAAATCCAATAATTATATACTTTTAATTTTATTACGTAAATATTGATTTAGCAAATTTTGATAAGAATTATAAATAACTAATAAATAATTATAAAAACTATAAGAAATGTATTGATATGATGTATTTGATTTGATTTCTAACAACATTGTATTCTGATATAATGAAAATACTATACTTGTAATTTCAACATTATGTGATTCCGTGCACTTTTTCAGACAAATAGAATTTTAGAACTGCATGCATCATCTCGGTGAATTGGGAATTTTATTTTACTTAAAAATTACATGGTTCAAAATTATTCATGTTTTCCGAGATAAGGTTTATATTATGCGACAGTTTGAATAAAATATTTTATTCATTTTTACCCAATTATCTTTAATCAAATACAAGTATATATAATTTTTTTTTATTGTTTCAAATTACGACAAACAATTACAATGTTATGATACTAATTACGTATCGCGAGTTTAGTAACACGAAAATACTGTACATTCGATGTGTATCCTAATAGTATTTCGAAAATGAATTTAAATATTATCTCTTATGAGGCATATAAATAATCGTAGAATTTTTATATTTCAATTATTGTCAATTTTATTTAAATTTTAAAACCCAAAATGAATCGATTTATTTTAACCATAAGATAATAAATAAATAATAACAATATTTAATAATAATAATAACTAAGCTGAATATTATCAGGTCAAAAAATCTCAAACGTCATCTAGGTATCAATTAAATTTAAAATATATATAAATATGTATAAAAAAAAAATTCTGCCTAGTGAAAAAGAACAGTTTAGTGGTTAGTGGTTCTGGGTAGAATTATTAAATTTAATTTAAAATCAAGGATAATACTCCAAAGTGTTTTCTGTGTTCACATTATCATAAAGTCAATAAAATGCGACAGTACTCCATGGATATGTTACTGTTCCAAACATGTTATGTAATCCGTAATATAATTCCATATAAAGTCTGTGTAATCATTTATAGGTCGACAACAATAATGTATTTTCCAATTTAAATTACGTTTATCGTACTCACCGAATACCATTCATTTAAACAGGACTTATTCATAAATATTATAATTAAAATACCCGATAAAACGTTAACATATTAACATTGTCATTGATATTTAGAAATT